GGTTTGGGTTTAGGGCTTAGGGTTAGGGTTTAGGGCATAGTAGGGTTTGGAGATTAAGGCTCATAGGCCGCCTAAACTTGGCACAGAGTGTTTTGGGTCTACAAAGCCGCTCGGATCAAGGTAGGGTGGACTCTCTTCATTTGCTACCTGCGGGCCACTAAGCCCTAAAGGTGAACTCTTTCTAGAGGACCATCTGATTTGGATTGAGGGTTCAGGGTCAAGGGCTTTGAGGAGACATGTAGATCCCTGATCAATTGACCCTTTGAGGTCCTAGCAATGAGCCCTGCCATCGTTCTCCATTCTCTGGAGGGTTGTTCATCAATCAACGGGCTGCATTGCCGGAAATCGAGCAAGATGTGCGAGCCCATGCTGGAAATGCAAGCCGACGATGCAAAACTCAGAGCCCTGCCACATCTGACCCAAGGTGCCCTTAAGGATGTTAAGCAAAGGTTTAGGGCTTAGGGTACCGCCAGGCATTGTGGGCAGAAGCCCAATACCCCTTACTTAAGGAATATACCTTAATTTGTTGGGGCCAGAATATTATGGTTTTAGGTATAATCCTTACTTAAGGGGTATTGCGCTCTCTGGGAATGTTGTGGGCTCTTTAGGTAATCAACGAAACAACCCCAAGACCTTGAGCTGCACAGCGGGGTGTTGCCACTCCCCCTCCCTGAGCCGTGACGAGACCCTAGAACCGCAAACTAACCCTATGAACTCTGAACTTTAAATCCTCCACTACTAACTACCCCCGCCATGCCTCCGTCTCTAAACCCTAGCTAATTACCCTAAACCCTAATTACCCTAAACCCTCCCACCGCCCCAAAAACGCCAGGCAAGCATCCGGCAGATCCGAAAGAGTGTGCATGAACAGCTCCGGGCGCTCTACCAGAGTGTCCTTGGACTTTCGGAGTTTTCGGGGGCTGGAGCTTGGGAGAACTAGGGCGTTTAGGGTTTAGGGTTTAGGGGGCCTCAAGAAAAGACGGTGGTTTGGCAAGTATTTTTATAGAATAGGTATAGACAGGGGGATAGTACTACTCCGGCTTGGCATGCAACCGTTTACTGTGTCGGGATTGGTACTGTCGTGTTTGGCGGGTCGGGCCGTGCGCATTTTCCAACGTGTTGGCCAACAGTTCACGAGCACACCAGCCGAGGAGTGGAAGATTTAGCTTCGGGTGTAGGGTTGAGGGTTTTGGGGGTTTAGGGTTTTGGGGTTTTGGGGTTTGGGATCTTGGGGTGTAGGGTTTTGGATTTTGGGTTGAAGGTTTTGGGGTTTTGGGTTCAGGTTTTGCAGCTTGGAGGTTTTTGGTTGAGGAGGTATAGGCACTGATAAGCATAAAGGGTGCTCTTATCGGATTATAGGGTTTCAAAACACAAACAAGAGTGTTCTCTCTCTCTCTCTATATATATATATATGGGTTTTGAGGGTAGTGTTTGAGGTGTAAGAGTTTAGGGCGTAGGGTGTGGGTAGGGTTTGAGGGTTTTCGGGTTTTGGGTTCAAGTTTCACTGCTTACTTATAGTCTCCGTTGTAGTTCCTTTTTGGGGATGTCTTATAAAATCCTTAAAAGATAATTGGTTAAACCCAAAAAAAAAGGAACTACAATGGAGACTACAGGTAGGTGTGAGTGCGGTTGTCGAGATTTTGTGTTCGAGGCCAGCTTCAGAACCTCTTCGCTCAGACCCCCAGGCTACTGAAGACATGCCGGGTCTTTGAGTCTTTGGGTCGTTTGGGTAGGTTTTAGGGTTTGGGGTTTAGGGTTCTTTTGGGTAGGGTTTAGGGTTTGGGGTTTAGGGTTTAAGGGTCTTTTGGGAGGGTTTAGGGTTTGGGGTTCAGGGTTTAGGGGTTTCGGTTTAGGGTTGCCCTAAGGCTCCTGAGAGGATTTTGCACTCCCTGAGAGGATGATAGGGTTTACGATCCCACCGTGCTGGGGGGTACATGTTAAACCTAGCGGCGCTAAACTCAACATACGCATCCCCTGCACAGCGCTGTGGATGCTCAACTATCATCCTCAACTGTCCGAAACACACGCGAGAGACCTTATAAGCCCTGAAGTCGAATGAACAGTAGGCAGCATTCATTTTCAGATCTTTCTCAGTATGAACCACTACCTGACGAATCAAGGGATGTCAATTCCACCAAACTGAGGTTCCAAGTAGCTTCAGCCTCATCACATTCTGAAGCACCAGCACACTGTAGCCTCAACCCCCTCATTTCAGATGCGTCAACTCTCAACGGACCTAATCGGACACCGCGGATGAACCCTACACTACCCATAGGCCCTAAAGTAGTTCCTTTTTAGGGTTCATATATAGAATCCTATAAGGTAACCCCCAAAAGGAACTACTTTAGGGCCTATGGGTAAGCCCTGAATCCTAAGCTCTAACACCCAGAGCCTCCAACAAAGAAGTAGGGCACACTCATCACCAACTTTACGCGAGCTGACCGAGGCCGAGTGGCAAAGTTGTGCAGAGCGAATCTCATGCAGCCCTGGTAGGGTTTGGGGTTTAGGGTTTAGGCTTTCACAGCGAGAAACCCACGGAATCTCAGACACCTTTCAAAATTTTCAAACCCTGAGCCCTGTGTAGGACACAGGAGCACTAGAATCGTCTACATATGCAGTGGTCGCGGTAAAAAACAACCATTGCGGTCGTGGTCGTAATTGAAGGGATCTATACTATAGCGGTTGTCGTCATAGTCGTTGTAATAGAAGTCGTTCGTGCCTAAACTCTAAACCCTAAACCTGTTCAGGGTTCTCCAGTTTCAGGTTCCTTTGTGGGCCTCTGCCAAAACAGTACGGCTCAGGGTTTAGGGTTTAGGGTTTAGGGCTCAGCACGGCTTTCTGAAAGTGAAGCTCGGAAACAGCAACCCGTGCACAACCCCACCGACTTAGCTTTCACCAGCTGAACTGCCGTAGCCTTTAAGCAAGAAGGCCACAAGATGTGCCTTGAGCCCTCAAGCCTACGGATATATGACCATAGGAGAGTGCACAGGTCTCAAAAGTTTAAGTTAAGTGACCATCCGTTTTCGCATGAGCCCCAAGCCCTAATCACAAAACCCGACCTAGACCCTTCATTCATTTTAAAACAGTACTTAGTTGCCTCGTTTTTCTTGGCGTGGAAGCCCAACCGTTCGCCGTGAAGTAGGTTTTCCAAGAAACAGGTGCTGCGATCCAGGGTCTTGATCAAGGGCGGCAATGACTCGAACAGGGTTTGGGGGATATCTTGCGATAATCAGGAGCCCTAATCGTATCGGTATTGTTCAGTCTCCTCCGAAAACCCTAGCCATTAGAGTAACCCTACTAGTACCCTGAACCCTAAACCCCCTAGCAATTATAGTAACCCTTGCGGCACCCTTAACCCTAAAACCCTAAACCCCCTAGCCATTCTAGTAACCCGAATAGTACCCTAAACCCTAGAACCCTAAACCCCCTAGCTATTCTAGTAACCCTAATAGTACCCTAAACCCTATAACCCTAAACCCCCTAGCTATTATAGTAAACCTTATAGTACCCGACTGTAAACCCTAGACCTCGTGTTAAGACCCTACAAGACCCCAGAAGCACCAGCCTAAACCCTAAACCCTAAATCCTAAACCCTAAACCACCAGCCTGCTTTAGCCCGGAGATCTGACGGACGTGGCTCCTTTCGCTGTAGGCACATCGGTTTAGGGTTTAGGGTTTAGGGTTTAGGTTTTAGCATGGATTGAGTTTCCAGTTTAGTTTTGAGCAGTTTGGCAAACCCTTAGAGGAATCCTAAATCCCGAAAGTTTAGGGTTTAGGGCTTAATGTTTAGGTTTAAAGCTTAGGACTTGGGGTTTAGGGTTTAGGGCTGACAGTTTACCTGTAGTCTCCATTGTAGTTCCTTTGTTTGTTTAACCAGTTCTATATGAAGGATCCGGAAAGGTAACCCCCAAAAGGAACTACAATGGAGACTATGGGTAGTTTTGAGCCGTTTAGCATGGATTGGGTTTACAGTTTAGGGATGTTTTGGGCTTAATGTTCGAGGGACCGCAGGCTTTGGGGACAAGGTAGTTTAGCCCGAAGCCTTAGACCGAACCCGCCGATATAAATACAAGGTGTAGATAGAATGACACCCTGTACAAGCTTCTCGGCTCGACCTAGCTAACCCTCGTGTCTCGATCACGACGTTGCAGATGACAGGGGCCCCAAAAAGGACATAAGCATAAGCATTTTACAAGGATTCCCTACCTTGCTGGGCTTCACTATACTATAGGTGATGTATAATATATTGGACATCCCTACCCTTATGTTTCCTTAGGTGCTTTCTTGGGGCTCGAAGCCCTAAACCCTAAACCCAAAGGCCCTAAACCCTAAACCCTGAACCCTAAGGCCCTAAACCCTATAAACCCTAATTAAGGCCTCAAACCCTAAACCCTAACTAAGGCCACAAACCCTAAACCCTGAACCCTAAGGCCCTAAACCCTAAACCCTAGTTAAGGCCCTAAACCCAAAACCCTGAAGAGCGGTTGGAGAAGAGCTTCGTCGCGTAGACGTGGTCGTAGTGGGGATTCAAGTACCAGCAGCCCCGGCCGTCCACGTCGTGGTTGCTGCTGTTTAGTGACCATCAGTTACCGCATTGTGTCTTCATGATCACTTTCCCAAATGTGGACACACGACTAGCGGGTGTAGATTGCTTCTTCTTAACTTCAAGCCCAATGCTCTCGAAGTTGTTGTACAAGTTCCGTGTAAATTCAGCATGATCATGTGTAACCTCTTCTTGGAACATTGCTTTGTAGTGCTCTCCGTCACAATAACCATGTCGTGTCGGACGTACAACAATAAGGAGAAGATCGTCTCCTCTAATCAAGATGTAGACCTTAGCATTCATTTGCTTTCGGTCTTCGTGCGCATGGAGTAGAAGATGTGCTTGGATCGCGCACTAGGGCATCGGAGGGAGCGGCCCAGTTGCCATGGTCTCCAACTCGATCAGCGAAGCGACTTGGAGCTCGAAGAGCGGCGCTTTGCGATCTTGAATCCCAGAGATCCCAAGTCCCATTAATTAAGGAAGATACCTTAAATTATAGGGACTTTTATCTTATAATCTATAAGGTATAGTATAGTCCTCGATTAAGGAATAGACATTCAATTATAGGGGTTTTATTTTATGATTTATAAGGTATAGTATAGTCCTCAATAAGGGAAGAGACCTTAAACAATAGGGGATTTCATCTTATGATTTATAAGGTGTAGTATAGTCCTCAATTAAGGAAGAGACCTTAAAGTATAGGTGGCCTTTATGTCATGATTTACAATAAGGTACAGTGTAGTCGTTAAGTTTGGGGGTATGGGGCTCTTCGGGAAGCCTTCTTCTTCTTGGTCTAAGCTGTTCAGTAACCAACTGGGAACAAGTTTTTACTTTTTGGGGTTAGCTATACTATATTAGCACCAATACCCAAAACAGTAAAAAGGTATACCACTGAACATCCTAGTGGTCCAACCAGATGCTGCTGTCAGAAGGACAGGCATCGCGCGCAGCATCTGCATGGCGACAGTCCTCAAGTCCTAAAGCCCCAATAACCCTAAACCCTAAACCCTAAACCGCTAAACCCTAAACCCCAAACCCTAAACCCTAAACCGCCCCAACGACCCAAACTTCCAAAGCCTCCAAACCCGACAGCCCTGCAAAGCTAATCCCTCTATTCCGAAAACTAAGCCTAAACCTCAACCTTACAGAACCCTTATGCCATATGAGCCTAAAGAACACTTAAAGGAACCCTTATAGAGTTAGCCTTCGAAGCCTTTAAAGCACGAGCGAAAACATCTCTTTCTGAATTGTGGGAACGGTTCCACCACGACACCATGTCAAATCACGCACACAAGTATAGAACCTTGAGTCCTGAAGCCTAAAAACCTGAAACCCTAATCTCTGTATACCCTCAATAACCCCATGAACCCCGCAAGAACCTCCAAACCCCAAAGCTTCGATCCCAAACCTTAAACCCTAAACCCTAAACCCCTAAACCCTAAACCCTCCCAAACCCGCCAGACCCAGACCCGAAACCGGGCCGGGCCACTCGCGAAGAACCGAGGCGAAGTGAGTCAAGTCCAGGGACTCCAGGATCGCTTCCTTAGGGGCGACGCCCGGAAACCCTTGCAGGAATCCTAAATCCCGAAAGCTTAGGGTTTAGGGTATGAAGCTTAGAGTTTAGTTTAGGGTTTAGGGTGTGAAGCTTAGAGTTTAGGGTTTAGGGTTTAGCGCGGATTGAGTTTACAGTTTACCTGGAGTCTCCATTGTAGTTCCTTCTTTGGTTTAACCCACTCTACTGTATATATTAAGGATCCGAAAAAGGAACCCCCAAAAGGAACTACGATGGAGACTATGGGTCAATCCCAAACGGAACCCAGAGGAAATGAGTGCAGACTAGAAGGCAGCTATGGTACGGTTTAGGGTTTAGGGTTTAGGATTGAGGGTTAGTATCTCCACAACTTCCCTCCGGCAAAGCGAACATGGCCGAAGCCGAAATGAACCCAAACCCCTACAGGAACCTTGTGAGCTCCTATAAAAAGCTGAGAAATTCATAAGGGAACCTCAAAACCCCTAAGTAAAAGAACACCAAACGCCTAAAAGAACCTTGTAAATTCATAAAGGAACCCCCAAAACCCCTAAGTAAAAGAACCCCAAACTCCTAAAAGAACCTTATAAAACTCATAAAGGAACCCCACCACCCCTCAGGGAACCTCAACCAGAACCCGCAAAGGAACCCGAAAGTTTTGAGGGAACTCGAAAGTCCTGGAAGGAGCCCCGACACCAAGCGTAAGGGTTTGGGGCTTAGGGTTTAGGGTAACTGGGGTAATTAGGGTGTTTAGGGTTTAGGGTAATTAGGGTTAAAACCTCCACTGGGCTCGGTGGAACCCCAGGATTGGCTCTTTTCGTGTGCGTTTGGCCATTGAAAGACAGGTTTTGATGAACATCCTGGCCTGCGTGGAGGTTGTAGGGCCAAGGGTTTAGGTTGGGCTGTAGCAGGTGGGGTTTAGGGTTTAGTGTTTAGGGTTTAGGGTTTAAGGAGCTAAGTAAACGGCTCGGTTGCTGAAGGGACATGCCTTGAAAGAGCTGGGAAGATTTCTTTGGGGTGTTTGAAACTTCAGCCCCCTTCATACTCTTTGGCTTGGGGGTTCCGTTTGGAGCATCCTTAGATCGGGTTAAACCCTAAACCCTTAACCCTGCCCTAAACCCAACAATCAGTATTCAGCACTGCTCCCTAAGCCCCTAAACCCTAAACCCTAAAAATTAAATTAAACACCCTAAACCCTAAACCTTCTCTGATCAAGCGTAAAGCCGCCAAAAACCCAAGGCAGCCCCCCAGCCCTGGCAATGAAACCCTATGATGAAGGGGCCTTAGGGGTTCTCTTCAGGGTTACTACTAAGGGGTTCTGGGTTTAGGGTTTAGGGTTTAGGGTTTTAGGGTTTAGGGTTTAGGGTTTAGGGTTTAGGGTTTAGGGTTTAGGGGTTCTCTTCAGGGTTACTACTAAGGGGTTCTGGGGGCCTAGTGTAAGGGCCTTGATGACTAGAATAGGATTATGGGCCCCTTTATAGTAGAACTTTAATACGTACTTTTTTATGAGGAACCCTAAGGCCCTGAGGAAGAGTATTGGTAATTCTTCAGAGGTTCTATATTACCTTCAACCCTCAACCTAATGACCTTCAAACCGTAAACCCTAAACCCTAAATCCTAAAACCCTAAACCCTGAACCAATCAGCCCTGAACGAACAAGCCACCAATCTTGTAAACACGCTATGACCTCAACAAAACTTTACAACAAAGTCAAACCATCGAACCCATGAGCTCCATGCACAACTGCACAAAACTCCTGAACACAACCCCCGCCCAAATACCTAACGCCCTCTCTCAGAACCCTAACAAAAAATCGCACAGAAGTCTCCCAAAGCCCTAAACCCCCAAACCCTCAACCTTAAACCCTAAACCCCCCAACCCCCTAAGCCCCTAAACTCGAAACTCTTAAACACCAAACCCCCAATACCTTTAAGCCTCAACCCTAAACCCCTAAACCCCTAAACCCCTAAACCCCTAAACCCCTAAACCCCAAACCTTAAACCCTAAACTCTGAAAACCCTAAACCCTAAACCCTCAACCCCCAGTCCCCTAAGCCAAGTCTCGCGGAGGAGCGTCCCGAGCCTTTCGACCTCGTACTTGGCGCAAGCCTCGCGGAGTGATCCGAGGGGTTTCGGGTTTAGGGTTTGGGGGGTTTGGGGTTTAGGGTGAGGGGTTTAGGGCCCTACACCCTAAACCCTAAAACCTAGTTTAGGGTTTAGGGTTTTGAGGTTTGGCGTGTTGGGGCTTAGGGTATGCACTCCCTAAAACAGAAACCCTTCTAAGGGAACAGCGGAACCGTAAACCCCTAAAGAAGAAACGGAAACCAACAAAGGAACCCCGCAACACCGTAAGCCTTGAAAGCCCTAGGCCTCCCAGACCAAATCTTCGCTCGCAGTAGCTCAAAAATCCTAAGGGTCCATGTACTCATATAGTATACTTAATGTAGTCCCTATATAGGTACTTTAGGGCCCATGTATATGCTATATGAGGACATGGACCCTTTGGGAAATTCAAAGTCTGGCACAATCGTATATGCGACATGCTTGTGGCATTCGTGGCTTGCGGACACTTCCACATGCCTCCGGGAACAGGGTCGGACGCGAGCCCGTTAAGAATCCCTTAACCCAGAAAGGGAACCCGAATGGATCCCTGAACGGAACCCTAATTGAACCCTCAACTTAAAAGAACCCGAATAGATCCCTTAAGCGAATCATTGGAGATCCCTTGGCGTGATCCCTTGAATCAAAAGAACCCTTTAAAGGAAACCTCATCCCCAACTCCGATAAGCCTCATCAAGCAAGGCTTTGAACCCCTTGACTGAACACTAACCCCTTCTAGGAACCCTGAAAAGAGAGAGAGAGAGAGAGAAAGAGAGAGAGAGAGAGAGAGAGCGCTGTTAAAGGAACCCTGCAGCTGGAAGCCAAAACCCCCACAGTAGCCCGTATACAATACCCTAAATTGGATTCCCTCAAAAGAATCCTAAACCCCCTGACCTTCTATGATACCCTTTTAAAGGATCCCTTCACCCCAAAACCGAAACCCAAAAAACAAAGACTTAGGCCCTAAAACCCACACACCCTAAACCCTAAACCCTAAACCCTAAAAACAAAGACTTAGGCCCTAAAACCCACACACCCAAAAGGCCCTAAGCACTGTTGCCGCCTCAAGGAGCTCGAAAGCTGCCCGCCGGGAGGCGGCGGGGACACTCACCGAGCTCTCCTCCTCCTCACCTCAGGATGTAGCACTCTCAGGGCTTAGTTAGGGCTTTCAGGGTTTAGGGTTTAGGGTTTAGGCTCTTAGGGTTTAGGGTTTAGGGTTTAGGGTTTAGGCTTTTAGGGTTTAGGGGTTAGGGCTTAAGGATAACTAGAATCTAATGTAGGGGCCTTAGTAATTTTAACAGGGTTCCTTTAGCTAAGGTTCCTTCTACACCAGGGCTTATGGGGTTTACGGCTTTCAGGGTTTCAAGGTTGGGAGCTTCAGGGTTTAGGGTTTAGGGTTTAGGGGATTTTAATAGGGCTCCTTTAGGCAAGGTCTCCTTTTTTTGAGGGGTTCAAGGTTGGGAGCTTCAGGGTTCAGGGTGTTTGGGATTTTGTCAGCTCTTGGAACCTCTTGAAGGAATCTATAACTATATGAACTTCTGTAGGGTTTAGAGTCTGCCGGGCTAGTCATATATACATATACAGTATATATATATATATATATACATATACATATACATATATATATATATATAGAGAGAGAGAGATGTATGGTCTTACAGGATCTGTGAGGCCTTGATAGGGGTGCTATACGGGTCCGATCCTCCTCCTCACCGCGAAAAGGTGTAGGGCTATGGGCTCAGGTTTAAGATTTTAGGGCTTAGGGTTTCATTTTACATTTGGAGGGTTCTATCAGGGGTACTTTGCTCGTGCAAGTAGGGTTTAGGGAGGTTTGGGTTCCTTTGAAGGTAGGGGGCTTTTATGTGTGTGTATATATATATATACATACATATATATATATATATATGGTTAGGCTTTGGGGTTTAGGACGGGGCAGAAAGTTGAGGGGCCTTACTACCCTAAGGGTCCATGTACTCATATAGCATATACATGGGCCCTAGAGTACCTATATAGCGACTACATTAAGGCCAATGTATATACTATATGAGTACATGGACCCTTAGGGCTACTCACGGATCTATTTCTTGAGGAGGCTTCCGACGCAAAGCTGGGCTGAAGAGGATTGGGGCCTACCCTAAAAGGGGCCTAGTTTAGAGAACTATATACCCATAAAGTAACTCTAGTACAGGTTGTAGAGTTCAGCTTTTTGCGAGTTTAAGGCTTTCTAGGATCCCGAACCCCGATGATCCCAACTCCTCAACCCCAAACCTGTCCCCTAGCCCTAAACCCTAAACCCTTATAGATCCCTTTAAAGGAGCCCTCGCAGTACCCCTTGCAGGGAACTTGGTTTCCTGGATCTGGAACCCTAAACCCTACTAAACCCTACTAAACCCTACTAAACCCTAACCCTAAATCCTAAACCCTAAACCCAAAACCTACTAAAAAGCCTGTCCCCCCTGGCCCTTCAGCTCCTGAGCTCTGAACTCAAAGCTGGGATCGCTTCGCCGTAGGCCCACCTAAGCTGTTCAGTAACGGTTTAGGGTTTAGGGTTTAGGGTTTAGGGGTTAGGGTTTAGGGTTTAGGGTTTAGGTATACTATATTAGGAACCAATACCCCAAAAAAGGAAAAAAGGATACTACTGAACATCCTAGCCCACCGAAGCAAGAGCACCAGAGTTCTCCGACTGAGGTCGCTGATGCGGACCTCCCACGGCCACGGTCTCGGGTTTGGGGTATTTTTGGGGGTTTAGGGCTTAGGGTTTAGGGTTTAGGGTTTAGGGTTTAGGGCTTAGGGTTTAAGGTTTATTTATAAGGTTTGGGGTTTCGGGCTTATAGAGTGGGTAAGACCATCTGTAAAGCTTCAACCCGCAAACCCTAAACCCCGGCCCTAAATGCTAGTACCCATATCGGACATTTAATTGAACCGGTACCCTTCAGAGGGACCCTCAACCCTTGCGAACAGCCCAAACCCAGCTGCCCGAAGAAGCACTCCGCCTGCCGCACGGTGCCGGCTCGCCTCCGATTCGCGGCGCTTAGTGTATACGTAGGGTTCAGGGTTGAGGGCCTAGGGTCTAAGGAAGTTTAAGGTTTAGGGTTTAGGGGCTGGGGCTTCGGGGTGATTCTAATTTACTATGAACATATTTTTCAGGAGCCTCACGGAAAGGTATAGGTAGTTACTTGGGGTTCCATATTGGCCATTGTTACGTCGTTGAAAAGGAAGCTATGCTTCAGGGCCTTGAACCATCAACTGGGTTACTTACTGTTTAGGGTTTCGGGTTTAGGGCTTAGGGTTTCAGAGTCTTATCTTCGACGGTTTAGCAATTTAGCAAGCGATTGGGTGGTTTGGGTTTGAAGATTCTGGCTTCTGTTGTCTTCAAAAGGTGCTGAACTCTAGATGATGGGGCTGGCGAAAGGGTGCTGCGACCAGGATTTCGGGTGGAGGATCTTCCAGGCTCGTGCGCTGTGTGCCTCTCTGCCTCTATCACTCCCTCAGCCCTGAATGTAGCGGCCTATAATCATTAGAATAAGGTTTTGGGGTCCTTTATAGTACAGTTATAACAAGGAACCAGCAGAACCCCCCGACACAATATAGGTAATTTATTTAATTCTCTACATCAACTTTATTCGCAGAGCAAAGGGCAGCTGCCAACTGCAAAACCCCAAGCCGCAAGCATTGAACCCTAAACCCTGGCCCCCCAAACTAGGCTCCATAAATGCACTGATTGGAACCTAAGACTAAGCCCTGAATCTCAAACCCAAACCCCCCCGGAGAGAGCTGGGTTTAGGGGTTTAGGGTCTAGGATTTAGGGTTTAGGAGCCCCTGATCGGATCCTAAAGCTTCTTCTGGCTTCCTATGACACAGGAACACGGAGACTTGGCCTGCAGCGATCATCCATAAGCGGTTGAGGATCGGCTTCGTCCACTGCCTCCCGGCTTCTCAGACTGTGAGGTGGTTCGGGGTTCAGGGCTTTGGGGCTAAGATTTTAGAGTGGAGGGTTTAGGGTCGTAGGGCCGTAGGGCTTACCAGGCTTACCACAGCTTAGACCAGTAGCTTCTGAAGGGCTGAAACCCTCAGCAAGACCGGGAAAACCGTTCGAAGCCTTCAGATTCCTGCAACAATTCTGAAGTCCTAAAAAAGCAGCCCAACCCCAAAAGGTTAAATCTCCCAACCCGCAGAACCCCAAGCCGCTGTAGATCCCCTTATAGCAAGCCCTACGGCAGTTACTTCCCCTAAGGGTCCATGTATTCATATGGCACATACATGGGCATTAAAGTACCTATATAGCGACTACATTAAGGCAAATGTATATACTATATGAGCATATGGACCCTTAGGGATGACTATACACACATTCTCTAACACAGCAATCCAGTATTTAGGTAACTAGAGGTTCAGCGCCTGAAGCCCCTGTTAGCTGCGGATTCATATCGAGAACCTTAATAAAGACCCAAACTTTCTTAACCAGGCTCCTAAACTCAACACTAAACCCTAAACCCTAAGCCCTAAGCCCTGAAAGCAACCCTAAGCCCTAAGCCCCAAACCCTAAACACTAAACCCTAAGCCCGAAAGCAGCCCGGGAGGGAATCTTTTGAAGCGGCAAACCCCCGCGCCTCTGCGCTACGGAGCAGTGCCGGGAGCCGAGCCTCAACGATGGCCACGTGGGCAAGCACGGCACCTTCACAGGGTTTCCAGGAGTGACTTTTAGGGGTTCAGGGTTTCAGGGTTTAGGGTTTAGGGTTTAGGGTTTTAGGGCTTTAGGGTTTTAGGGTTTTAGGGTTTAGGGATTAGGGTTTAGGGTTTGTGGTCTGCTTGGAGGCCCAGGGGACTTAGTAATTCGGTTATAAGTAAGGCTATGATGAGGGTAACTCCATTGAGGGTACTTATAACTCTACTCACAACCTACTTACTACGTCCCCTGGGCCTCCA